GGTTACATTACAGGAAAGAAGCACTGAGCTTGGGGTCCACTGCTTGTAGAGCAAAGAGTAAGTGCAGAAATGACATGGAGGTGGCATCTTGTGACCTCCTTCACCTTCACAAGAGGAAGACAGAATCACCATCAGCAGCCCAAGGCCAGACACGCCACAACCCTCCAGCCTTTTAACCAACTTTGACACCAACCTTCCCTCCCATGGTACTCACTACTTCTCTGCTGCGTTCAGTAATTCATTGCAGTGGCCACACAGAACTCACAGATACTCGTGATGATGGGGATTTATTAGGGAAGTAACAAGCTACAGTTCAGGTTTAGGAATGCACTCAGGATACAGTTCTTTGATCAGGACAGTCTCCACTCTGCTGTGCCCTCATGCTCACCTCTCTGACCCTTGGCCTCTTGACCTGGCCTCTGCCTTTTTCACTCCATAGGCCAGGTAAGCCTGCCACTCTGTCTTGTGTCTTTTGGTTCCACTGCCGCTATTTCCCTGCAAGGGTGTCTCTATGCCAAGGAGGTCCAGGGCAGGGCTATCAGGTCCAAGGACGTGCTCTACTTCACCTCCAGCTCTTCTCTCTTGATGGCAGTGAGATCCCCTCTGGGCCTCTAGGAGGACTCATTTGAAGCCTGGCAGAGTGAGAAAACTAACCAATCCCAGCATCAGAATTCTACACACCTTGTTTGCATGGTCCCACCCAGTAATCTGAAGGGTGTTACAAAAGTGTGGTTAGAAAAGCCATACCAAATAATTCATTGCACCACAGTAAGCAGCATTTATCTGGGAAGAGATGTTATCTTATCCCTCAAGGTCACCTGCTACAGACACAGCCCTGAGAAGTGGACTAGATAAGGAGAGGTTAGTGCCATGCCTTCTTTGTACAGCCAGCAAGAATATGCAAGAACGTTCAGTGCCCCTGGTGGATTTTCTCTCTTCGTAGGCAATAATAATTATATTTTAATGTCTGCCTTCTATATTATATATTTTCTAAAAGTAACATTTTTTGGTGGGGAGTGATGATTTTGTTCTTTTTAAGGGTTTTGAAATCTCTAGTCTTTGGCTTTAGTGTATTTCTTGACTGACCACTTCTCAGGATGAGTGAGCCTACTGTTCTGACGTTGCCCTCCACTCTGACCTAAATGCTTGGCTTCCTTCATCACAGATTATGCTCGTTCATTAGTAAACAACCATTCTGGACTGGACCCTGCCACCATGTTCTTAATGTGAAAACTGAGGAGTCAGCTTTGTAACTTACCCCAACTTCTTTTTTGGTTCAGACTCAGCATCTTTGAGTTTTCAGATTGGTGTCCTAGAGAAGGAAGCATTAAATCAAGATGCACTGTTTTAAGATGAAATCTCCTAAAAAAAGACTTTTTTTTTTTTTTAAACTTTTTACTTTTATTGTGGTGAAAACATACACAAGAAGACATTCACCAACATAACTTCCACATTTGCAGCTCAGGGACATTGATGATATTTTTCACATTATGCTACTGTTATTGCCATCCTTTACTGAAATATTCCACCACCATTAGCATAAACTCAACACCCCATAAACCAAAGTTTCCCCTTTCCCCTTCTCTCCTACCCCTGGTAACCACTAATAATAATTGGTTTATCTCTCTCTCTCTGTGTGTATATATATGTGTATGTTTTTTTTTAACCTATCTAGGAATTTTTTCTTCCCTCCCCTTCCATCAGTGCCTAAGGCACTTGACTGCTAACCAGAAGGCTGGCAGTGCAAACCCACCAGCTACTCCTCAGAAGGAAGATGGGGCAATCTATTTCGGTGGTGATACTGCCTCGGAAACCCAAGAAGGGGTTGCTATGAGTCGGAAATGAGTTTGTGTTGTTTTTTGTTTTTGGGTCCCCTTCTATCTCTGGTTACCAACAAAGAATGTTTCCTTCCATAATAATCATTTCCTTGACTTTTTACAATATTGGACAGATACAGTATTTGTCATCCTGTGATTGAGTTATTTCACTCGGCATATTGCCCTCCAAGTTCGTCCACGTTATATGGTGTTTTGCAGATAGTACATTATTCTTCAGTGTTACATGGTATACCATTGTATGTATATACCACAGTTTGGTTTCCGTTCCTTTCTTGATGGGCACTTAGGTTGT